TTCATAGGCCTGCGCCTCGGTGCAAATCCTCTGTCTCTCAGCTCACTTCGCTTCTACAGCTGTCCTTGACCCACCGCCGTCGTACTAGTCTAATGGTTCCGGTTAGACCAGCCCCTGAGAACAATTTACCTACGAAAGTCCCGACCTTCACTTCAACTTCCTTTCCTATTCAAGACTCTCCATCTATCGCTGTCACAACTGCAAGCTCTGTTTTTCCGGCTGAGGTTACCACTAGCTCGACTAAATTACTACAGCTTCGTTTGAATAAGCGTCCGGATGATACCTCGGTTGAGAGCAATGATAGTCTTGGCTGGTATTCTGAGCAAGGTCCTTCTATTGAACAATATAATATTGAGCCACAACAACATATTCCTCCAGTGGCGCTCCACCCATCAGCACCGCCCCCAACAGGCCGCTGTTTTCTGCCACAACCTCACATTCTTGGCACAACGGATGAGGAAGGTGAAGCAGAAGAGCAAGAAACTGATCTTAAGATGACTGAGATGGGAGTAACTGATATCGAATCCGGATCACAGACCCGAAGGCCGCTTGATAAGCTTGGCTCCAACACTGATACGCAGAGCCAAGCTGTTAGTTTAGATGTTGGATACAATTCTTTCATTGCGACGGGTACTAGCTTGGATAGCGGGGTTGGGGGGGAACTGCTTGATCCCGAGGAGTTGGAGCCCGAGGAGGTGAAGCCTGAGTCGGTGGATGTATTATGTCACAACTCTAAGATGATATCTGTAGATCGTGGGCTTTTAGCTGGAGGTCAGCGATCACGCGGAAAATTACAATTGTCTATCTGCTCTGGCGATTTGGTAGCTCAGAGGCGGTCTAATCTAGATTTTGCAGGAACTTTTGGTCTAGAAACTCATGATCGCCCTGCTTGCATTTTACCACATAGACCTGCCGAGGATGATAATTATTTAGGTATGCTGATTTGACATTCACTATTCTTTCTTTGATCTCTCATCTATATAGACTCGGGATTTATTTTATGAAATTTTTTCAATCATTCTCATGTTATGTCTTTTAATTCACCTTAGCCATATTATATTCATAATTTTCTACCTCTTGTTTTCTCGTTAACTTCCTTTAAATCTGATTTATTATCTGATTTCTATTTGCTTAGTTTATTTTCTTATTAATATCTACTTTGGTCATCTCGTTATATGCTTATTATAACCTTAAGGACGGGTTTAAGTGTGGGATATAGTATTTTTATATACTAGCTATAAAGACCAATATGGTGTGGCCATTTTGTTTGT